CAAAGAGCGCCGGTCGTAGTGTCGTGCCAAGCTGCGCTCCAAAGCGAAAGAATCTCCGCACTCCAAGCATCGGTAGCCAGCAGCAGGCAAAGGAAGACCCCATTCAGGGGGTGGGGGGGTCGAGAGGTCCGGACGGTAGCTGGGCAGCAGGTTCTTGCTATTCAGGATCTTGTTGAAAGCCTCAACCAGGCTGGACTGGCTACGGGAAATAACAGCACCGGTGCTGTTGACGATAGATGCTGGTTTACATGGCACAGTACCTCCATTGGCGGTTTTAGCAACTGTAGGACGCACGCTTATTCCACCAACAGCTGGAGCGACTGGCAAAGTGGTGGCTTTCGTGATGCTCACTGCTGTGGCAGAAACTTTCATTTTATCGGATTGCACTGTCATTTTGTTTTGGACCTTACTGGCAGCTGCTAACATGGCACTACTGGCTTCTAGAGTGGATACTGGTAGGGTTGAGCTTTTTACCACTTGACCAGCAGTGGCGTCATTTTTTCTGGTGCCTTTCGCAGTGCTGGTTCGATTTCCCGTTTGGGATTTACTTCCATCTTTGCCTGCATTGGCAGCACCTAACTTACCGGCTACTCGGGTAACTGTGCGGGTGATGCCTCCTGTAGATGTCTTAATGGTCTTGATGCGTACTTTAAGTGGTCTAGAGGGAACTTTGCTGCCAGGTACAGCTTTGCCACCAGTGCTTGGTGTTGAGCCAGTGTCCGCTGGGAGGGACTGCACAGTATCTACCTCCAATTTCTCTCCATCCCTTTTCCCACCGTCCTTACCATCCACATTAGCCACATCTTTTCCATTCTCTGTAGACCCTTTGTCTACTTCCATCTCCTCTTCTTCTTCCTTGGGTTCTCGAAGGGCAGCAGATGGTGATGAAGATGCCACCGCTGGGCTGCATGATCTTTTGGTAACTGCAGACGTTGGCATGGAGGACTTGGGCATCTCAGGCTCAGGGCTCTCCGGTGAGTCTCGTTCTTCAATCACATGCTCTGGGTTTCGCTCCTCTTGGGGTAAACTCTTTCCAGTTCCTGTTTGGACTGGTGTGGAAAGCCAGTTCTGTTGAGCTCGAGGTGAAGCAGGTGAAGCCAAGGGGATGTCACCTGGTTTGGGGTAAGCGCTAGGTGATATGGACGTCGAAGGAGGGAGAGAAGGAGACTGTGAATTTTCTGGAGGTGACCTCAGCCTGCGTGACAGTTTCGGAGGGGTGGGCGAGTCCGGACTCTCGTGGATGACAAGAGATCCTCCAGAATCAGGATCTGAGTCCTCTTCATCCGAATCTACGCGTCTGAATGCAGACGAACTAAGACGTGGTGTACCGTTAAACGGCTCTGTTAGAGATGTAGCAAGGGGAGACGATGCCACAGCCCCAGAAACTCTGGAACCAACTGAGGGAGAGGATGATGACGGTGAGGAGGATGAAGCTGTGGAGGGAGTGGAAAGAAGTGGTTTAGGTGGGGGAAAGAAAGGAGATGCTGCTCCACTTGCCCCACTAGGAATTGCAGGGGCTTTTGCCTTGTCTGCACCTTCTATGTTCATCTCCTGCTGCATATGCTGCTGTTGCAGAAGCTGCATTTTCCGGGCCCTTCCAACAGAGTCTCCAGCACCTTGTGCCATTAAGGGCTTCAACTTATTGAAGATGTTGCTGCCCTGTTTGGAACTGCCGGAAGAGCCAAGGACAGCTCCTGTGGTCTCTGGTATCGTCTTTGAGCTGCATATGGGCCACTGCTCCCCATTCGGCTGGCAACGGGTCTGCGACATATGTACTGACCCACCGGATGACACAAATCCATTATGGTTGAGTGGGTCTGGTACAGAGTTGTCACCACCATCAAAGGGCTCAGGGCGAACACGGTTCTTCACAATCACGCTAACAATAGAAGGGTCGCTCTGAGAATCCGAGGATGGGCTGGGTGATCTTATGGCCGAACTTCCACCTACTGAAGCATCCCCAGACTTTATGAGTGATCCTCCGCCTGCTCCTTGATGCCCCTCCACCTCATCCGGTGCTGACTGGATAGCCTCTTTGGCATCAATGTCAGGAATGTCAAACGCTGCCAATAGGTCATCGAAATCGGGGGTTTTCATGTCCCCCATGCCGGGTCAGTGGACTCAATCCTAGAACACAAATAAAATGTCTGAAAAATGTGTGTAATAAGAATTGCATTAAAGAGATAGTTAATCAAAAATTACAATTCTGTCATCATTTACTCACCCTCATGTTGTTCCAAACCTGTATGACTTTCTGTCTTCTGTGGAACATATAAATAATGGAAGTCAATGGTCACCAAAACACTTTGGTTGCCAACATTCTGCAAAATATCTTCTTTTGTGCTTCACAGAAGGTGGTCATACATGTTTGGAACGACATGAGGGTAAATTATGACATAATATCCATTTTGGGGTGAACTATCCCATTAAGTCTGTGTTGACATTATTTTCTATTTAAAAATGAAATTAAGACCCAGTATTATTTAATATTGTTCATACAAATCAGTGTGATTTAATGGGGTCTTTCATGCAGGCAAAGTGTAATGTGTTATATTTTAAACAATATCTCAAGTCATCTGTTTTCATAAGGTGATTTTCGTATATAAAAAGGCTGTTGTGCTAAAACATAGTTTATTAAAACATTTCACGAATTCCAGCTATTTGTAATCCTAATAGAAACGGCTTCGTGTTGAAGCACCACTAAGGTAAAATTTATATTGATTTTAGCCACATGCTTCTTCTGTTTGACTAATAGTCCATTCATTACTTCGACAACAACAAAAAATATATACAAATATATACATCGCACTACAGCAAAATGACATCGAACGGCTTTTGTTAGCTTTGGCTAACAGCCACGTAATGGTTCTGTATAAACTAAACATTGATGTCTGAACTAGAAGACATATTCACTTCTGTAATATAATATATTTCTTATTTTTTAATATCATAAATATATGATCCAACAGTCATTTGTTCTTTGCTTAACAATGGATCATTTTCAGGTAACAGAGCTGTTTAGCACGCTACAGCTGCTATGGTGTCAACAAGAGAATCCAAACAAGCCCTCTTATATTAAATAAAAACATTGCATGAATACATACTTGGCCAATAAAAGAAAGACAATGATCCAGTAACCATTAAGCACGTTACAGCGATCAATTTGGTATACAAAACAAACACAATTGCCTGAGAACGGCTAACGTTAAACCCTGCATCTGACCTGGCTAACTACAAATGGGGACCGAAATTGGATCGCTAATGGTACGATTAACGGGCTTTTGTCACATTTTGTCCCTTAGTTGTGGTTTTGGTGTTGATATATTGATGAATAAAGAGCTCGGGGGACGATAAACAGATATACGAGGTGTATTTTGGGGTTTGTTCTGTCATGACGGCGGGGTCCGTGCTGCCCCGTCGCGAGGGTCATTTAAGCGCAGGCCACTGCATGTGCACAGCAACATTTAACTGTTTATAAATAACCTCACATGGATGCCGCAATATGTCTTTATGATCATGCATTTTTATGTACGTGTGTATTATTTTTGTATTGTGTATTTTCATGCACGGACAGTGATTTTGTTTACCTGTTTTTTTGAGATTCCCGACTATCCTCGCTCCAGATGAAGCGCCTTAACTTCCCGTCATCGATCGAGTACGGCCAGGTCTTGGCAGATAACAGTGATAATAATGGACAGGAAAATTATTTTCGGTCTTCTTTGGTTATATTGTTATGTTTGCATGAATAGATCTGGTGAGATTTAGCTTTTTATATTAAAATCAAGAACAAACATGAACATTATCATTGCATTTTATTGATGTATAGACGATGTGTATTTACATCCTTCCAGGATCTCATGTTTCACTGTCTTTAGGTTGATTTGGTTTGGGCCTTTATTATAAGGATTGCGTTTTTTCATCCCCCAAAGCGCAGAGGCTTCATGTTTATCATAGTATCGTATAGTATAGTATTATAGCCCAAAATTTAAATAGTAAATAGCCCAGTTTCTTTTCCTATATGCTTTAGAAATGACATACATGATCCACAAAAATATTATTGTATTTACAGACATCTCAGATAATAATCAACTATTTAATCAATAGATTGGCAACACATATGTAAGGCATCACAGTCAAACTGTTATTGTAATCGTTATTGTGAATATGTTTGACTCCTGCGTAGATAGACATATACATAAATGCATGGGTACATTATACATAACATAAATCTTTAATTTGGAAATCGCCAGTTCCTTGTTATTTGGTGAAAAATCGTATTATTCCCAATCTTGGGAACAAATGTATTGAAATGCTTATACACAGCAAAAGAAAAGCAGCAATAAACAGAGCTAAATTTATCTCGTCTGATGTTTTCATAGACTAGGTTTTACTGCCATCTAGAGATCATTGACGGCATGCACAATCACTGGCACATTACCTCTTCCAGCATTCTTTAATTCGTAATAATTTAATTCGTTGGTTGTCGTTATAACAACAGTATAAAGAAATAGCAAATATGTACATTATTATTATCATTATATTTTATTGAAGAAATATCAAAACAAACAATACAAATTAAATACATTTCAAATGCTAGGGGAAGGTATAAACCGTTTCTTCGACGGCAATATTGCCTCAATAAAATGCTTCACTTAATTTTTAAATGTAATAAAACATGTTTTCCCCTTCTTTTACTGTCTATGGTTTTCCCCCTATGGTTTTCCCCCTGAAAATTTACATTCATGAATGTGAAATTTAGCCATCAAAATAAATAAATACAATAAAATAAAAAGTGCAGGGTTTGTTTATCTTTGGAGTTTACAATAATACCTAGCAGAACATCTTTCCACAGTAATGTAAAACGTTTCATCAACATTTCCAACAATGAAATCAAGTACATTTTGCCAGAAAACTGAAAGTGACCATAGAGACTTTTATTTGTAGGCCGACATCTTAGTGACGTCCTCACATTTTGACCAATAAGAAATTACTTATAAAACATTCGAACGCTTATGGGCGGGATTAGAGTTCGCTGAGAGGGAAGTTCAAGCGCCAGTGAGTGAAACGTAAGTGTTGGTTGTTTTTGCAAATTCCGTGTGGAAAAAATAGCTTTCACACTCAAACGAAAGTACCATTTGAACAGGTAAACACCAAAATTATTACATTTTCAAGAATGAAGAAACAGTACGTGTTATAAATACAATAGTCCATGATGGATTAGCTGTTGCGTTCATTAGCTAGAGTGGTATGAGCTGATAGCAGCACTGTAGGAAAAGTCTGATTCCTGTATAAATAAAATCTCTTCATTTACATAGAAATAAAACTGGTATCCATTATTGTCCTTTAAATTGAAAAACTATTAGTTCACTGCACATGAACGGTGTAAAGTTTATGACATGCAAGTTATTTCATCTGTTTATTATCCAGAAACAACATCACGCCATGTCCCACAAGCAGATTTATTACTCTGACAAATATGACGACGAGAAATTCGAGTACAGGTAGGCAAATATTCAGTCCATCTGTACCGTTTACAATTATTGTTTTTCGCTGTTATGTTTAGGAGTTCCAGAGACCACAGTGCTGTACATGTAAAAATAACAATAACAATAGAGTTCCAGTGATTAGCCAAAAATTAGACGAAATTAAACTTTAGACTCACAATAAAAGTTGAAAATTAGTTTTCATAAGTTTAGTAAAAGAATAAACATGATATGTAAGTACTACTTTTCTGAGCTATTAAAATGACATCTACAGACATAATGAGGGCACAGTGTAATATGCTGATTTCCATTCATTTTTAGGCATGTCATGCTTCCTAAAGATATTGCTAAAAGAGTTCCCAAGACCCATCTCATGTCAGAGACAGAATGGAGGAACCTGGGTGTTCAGCAGAGTCAAGGATGGGTGCATTACATGATCCATCAGCCTGGTATGTGTGTGTAGTAGGTGTCAAGAACATGCTTAGATATTACGGTTTCACTGATTTCACTGTTCATGTTTTTGACTTCTTTTCTTTATAGAACCACATATCTTGCTCTTCAGACGCCCCTTACCCACAGTCCAATCCCATTGACCCCAAAACCACTGGGATTCTGTAGTATGGACACATTCTGAAGATGTCTGAAAGATGCTGGGTGCACCCCAGATCAGATGGTGTCGATATAATTTGTGCTGCTTCTGATTTATGCATTCATTGTAGACTCTTCTGTGGGTCAGATTATTAAATTGCCTAATCTCTGCCTTAAAGAGTTAGTTCACCAAAAAATAAAAATTCTGTCATCATATACTCACCCTTGTGTCGTTCCAAACCCGTAAGTCTGTTGTTCATTTCCGGAACACAAAAGATCTTTTTGATGAAATCTGAGAGATTTCTGTCCCTCCATTGACAGCTACGCAACTACCACTTTGACACTTCGTAAAACTAATCCATATGAATTGAGCGGTTTAGTCCACATTTTCTGAAGAAACACAATCACTTTATATGATAAACAGATTAAATTTAGGCTTTTATTCACATATAAACTTGCTTGACGTGCGAGAATCAATGAGACGCGTTTAAACTTCCACAAGAACCAATAAGGTTTGTTCTTGCGCGTCAAGCAAGTACGGTTAAGCTTCTGTTTATGTTCACTGATCAATGTTTCTATGTGAATAAAAGCCTTAATATATAAAGTGATTGTCTCTTCGGAAAAATTGGATTAAACCACTAAATGCATATGTTTTCATATTAGTTTTATAATCTATGAACTTTTTGAAGCGTCATGGTGGTAGTTGCGTAGATGGTAAATGGAGAAACAGACATCTCAGATTTCATTTTAAAATATCTGCATTTGTTTTCCGAAGATTAACGAAATACTTACAGGTTCGACATGAGGGTGAGTAAATGACAGAATTTTCATTTTTGGTTGAACTGTCCCTTTATTTAAGAGATGTGCACAATTTCCTACTGCACATATATTTATTATTACTACTTACCAAGCCTATGTTTCCATGAGTTCTGCTTTACTTTATGAATTTATTGGTGGCCCTGAAAGGTCAGTCAATAGTGGAAAGGTTACTGAAATAAATTTCTTCTCTTTAAAATAATTACTGTTTGTAGAAATATGTTTCAACGTTCATAAGAAGCAGCTGAACTGATTTTTGATTCATTAATTTTTTTTTTAAAAACTTCCACAATATGTATAACATTTGACTGATAATATATTAAAAATAGAAAGGTGTCAATTCTCTTTAATGGTGTACAATTTACATGACTCACCTTTACGATTGTTTTATGACAAGCATTACATGCAGCTGTACTTTGCATGGCTGTGTGTGTGTGTGACCACAATGGCCACAAAAAGCAAACTACTTTCCATTATGCTTGGATATACATTGAGCTGCATAATCCCATTGTAATGTTGGATCCAGACTTGAGTCAAATTTTTATTATAACTGCAGCTATAACAATTTTTAAGTGTTTTTAGGCTACTGTTTGTCATACAAAATGGAATAAGGAGCCAGATTTTACCTGTTTTCACCTGTGTTTTTTTCGGAGTTTTTGCTAAAAATACCAGAGCTATGCAAAAAATGTACAAGAGTTTAACTGTTACATTCATCTTTTATTGGCAAAAGATTTAGACAAGGACAGTAGGGACATCCTACTATTATGTCTGGAGACCCCTGAATACCACCAATACTTATTGCGATTACTAACTACTGTCATTTTATGCATATTTTGCATTAACTGCTTACAATTGTCTGGGCTAGCAAACAACACCCTTTAAGAGAATATGTAGCTAGTAAAGAAGGATACTGCATCATTCGACTTGACTATATGTTAAAGTTTTTTTGTGCTACAGTAGTTTAGCATAAAAGTAATGCTTAGGCCTGCAATATAAGTGTATTTTCTTTGTTTGCTTCAGCCTATAAGGGCAAACCGTTTTAAAAAGGAACACAAACAGTATGCACACCCTTGCATTTATGTCTCCAACAAGAGAAATTAAGTGTTCTCCTCTGAACAACTATAAAAGGTTTAAATCATAAAAATCTAACAATCTGGAGAAAATGTTGGTCAGATGTGTGAAAATATAACTTCAGGTTCAGGGTGAAAAGGAGATTGTGTGTGAACTGCCAAATGAAATTATGTAGAGTTAGTAATGAGATGCATAGAAAGATAGTCAGAAATCTGATAAAAAATATCAAACAATAAAAAAAGGGAAAAGCGCGTATTATATTGATACATTGCAGATATTTGCGTAAGATTAAGGCGAGAGCTTGGCACCTTACACTGACTGCATAAGAAGAAACATTATGTAGCTCTTTTGGGCACTTCCTGTAATCTGAGCACAAATCTCAACAAACAGGAAGAGGAAAGCGGTGCTTCAGATCAAAGATACACTTGACGTAGACACATCTACAAAGAAGAAGGATAGGGTAAGCTTTACCTTTGATTGTACATTCTAATTCTGATCAACATAATTCCCAGATTGTATGCTTGTAGAGAGTAGTGTATTTAGCTTTTTTTTCTCTGCAAGAAATAACACAGAGCGCAGTCTCGTGTAGAGGGGCGATGGGGGTATCGACGCACCGGTCTCGTAACTCTCACGGAGGAGCGGAAGTATGTAGCTAGAATTGTCTCTTTTTATTACATGGAGAAAATAAATGATTTGAGAGAAAAAAAAAAGTTTGAGAGAAAAAGTTATCACACTGATAGCAAAAAAGCATTTCATGAGAGAAAAAATTAAATTTGAGAGAAAAAGTTCTCATACAGACAGGAGCCATCTTTGGAAAACAGTCTCGACTAATCAAATCACGAACGCCATTCATACAGTTCAGAAGTTCACTGAACCTCATACAGTTCAGCTCACTTAGCACGTCGTTCGTGGTTTGACTAGTTGAGACTGTTTTCCAAAGATGGCTCCTGTCTGTATACACGAAGTGGACTGTCTTCATAAAATATCTTCTTATTAAACGGTCTGTACACTTACAAAGTTCTCAATGCTTCGTTTTGCATGTAGGGACCCTCATTATGTTACTGTGTTAGTGTGGGGCTATTTTGAGCCTGGTTAGTGGTATAAACTAGCAATTTCTTTTTACTTAATAGATGCCCCCATTACTAGCGTTATACGCTAAACAGTTTTTAGAGATAAAACTCTTTACATTCGATTATCATGAAAACAAATCTCAGAGAACGGTTGACTAGGTACCAATGTTTTATTAGACCAAGGTTCATTTTGCGCCGGAGTTCTCCTTTAAGGCTTGTTATACAATACAGATAGTATATTTGCCTGTGATATTTAACCAAAGACTCGTGCTTTTGGGGCTATTTTTGGTCTGTTGAAAGTACCTTGTTGATTCTTTTAAACTTTTAAATTTCATTTTAATGTTCGATGGTTGAAGGGTGAGTCGATTAATGTCATCTCATTGTGATACTTTTTGAGTGGGGGTTCAATCTTCAGCTGGCTGGCAGGAGCCGCCACTGGTAGGTCACGTGACCTGTCAGTGGCTGGCTAGTTGTCTGGCAGTCTGCCTTTGGCAAGTTTCAGAAACCATTGATTTTTGACAGTTTTTGTGTTTTGTGTTCCTCCCTTTCTAGCTCATTTATTATGCATCTGTTGATATGATTATGTTCTTTAGTATGATTGATGTTTTTGGGACTGTTATCCCAGGGCTCGACATTAAGGCTTGTCCGCTTGTCCGGGACAAGTGGATTTTTTGTAGGACAAGTAGAAGAGAAAATTAGTTGTCCGACCGGACAAGTTACATTTCAAACAAAATAAAATGCCATGTTACTTCACGTTATGTGCCACTCGTTACGTCTATTTTACAGATTTAATTTTACCGATTTGAAACGAACACATTTTTTCGCGCTGCCTGTGAATGTCCTGAATGTGACTCACAGAAAGACGCGCGCCAGTATAATGCGCATGCACAGACCGCGCGCCAGAAGTTCTCTTTCGCGCTTGAACGAACATCAACAACACACACAATTAAGCCAAAATGTCATTTGTCGAGTATCTTCATAACATAAGAACAGTCTTATGATGGACATAAAGAGTTGTGACTCGTGAGAGAATGAGGCGCGTGTGATATCCGCGTCTCTGTCCACAGCGGCTGCTCTTAAAGGGCCAGCTACCAATAAAGCGTTCTGTCAGTAAAGTTACTGAAAGAACAAAGGGAACAGAGAAAATTACTCACTGCTCTTGACTAAAGAACTTGTGTAGCTTCAATAAGTAGTAGTCTATATATAATTTATAATTTATGCAGCCCAGACTGTTTGATAACTTTATTCAATTTCTGTAGGCCTATATGTCCTACCTGTTATACAGTTAATTTTTATCCAGACATCAATGGCTTATTGATCATTATAGGTGTTATCAATCATTTAGTTGTTATTGCTAATTTCAGAATTATCACTAATCTGTGTGTGCATTTGGTTTAGAACCAAACAAGTTGACTCATGAAACCATTTGTTTATTATATCGCAATCGCATATCACAACCGCAATATTGAACTCAATAATCGCAATATGACATTTTCCCCAAATCGTGCAGCCCTAGATACAATTATAAATCTTTACCGGGACAAGTGACTTTTGTGCATGGACAAGAGAAACCTAAATTTACTTGTCCGAAGGACAAGTGCCTCAAAAAGTTAATGTCAAGCCCTGGTTATCCCAATATAACCAGTCAAATGGCCGTGATCCGACTGGTAGCTGAGCTTACAGACGCTTGCTCGACGCTCATCCAGTCAGTCGCGGCTCATAGTGCGAGTATAACGCGTTGCCTGACACTCTCGCTGCATGGAAATAAATTGTTCAGCTAAAGTGTAAACGTCGCTAAAGCTAAAGTCGACGCTTGGGTCGAGCAAGCGTCTGTAAGCTGCCAGTCGGATCACGGCCATTTGACTGGTTATATTGGGATAACAGTCCCCAAAACATCAATCATACACAAGAATAAAGTCATGACATTATATTCATAATAAGAAAACAATTTATTTCCATGCAGCGAGAGTGTCAGGCAACGCGTTATACTCGCACTATGAGCCGCGACTGACTGGATGAGCGTCGAGCAAGCGTCTGTAAGCTGCCAGTCGGATCACGGCCATTTGACTGGTTATATTGGGATAACAGTCCCCAAAACATCAATCATACACAAGAATAAAGGCATGACATTATATTCATAATAAGAAAACAATTTATTTCCTTGTAGCGAGAGTGTCAGGCAACGAGTTATACTCGCACTATGAGCCGCGACTGACTGGATGAGCGTCGAGCAAGCATCTGTAAGCTGCCAGTTGGATCACGGCCATTTGACTGGTTATATTGGGATAACAGTCCCCAAAACATCAATCATACACAAGAATAAAGGCATGACATTATATTCATAATAAGAAAACAATTTATTTCCATGCAGCGAGAGTGTCAGGCAACGCGTTATACTCGCACTATGAGCCGCGACTGACTGGATGAGCGTTGAGCAAGCGTCTGTAAGCTGCCAGTCGGATCACGGCCATTTGACTGGTTATATTGGGATAACAGTCCCCAAAACATCAATCATACACAAGAATAGATGCGTGACATTATATTCATAATAAGAAAACAATTTATTTCCATGCAGCGAGAGTGTCAGGCAACGCGTTATACTCGCACTATGAGCCGCGACTGACTGGATGAGCGTCGAGCAAGCGTCTGTAAGCTGCCAGTCGGATCACGGCCATTTGACTGGTTATATTGGTATAACAGTCCCCAAAACATCAATCATACTAAAGAACATAATCATATCAACAGATTCCTAATAAATGAGCTAGAAAGAAAGGAACACAAAACACAAAAACTCAAAAATCAATGGTTTCTGAAACTTGCCAAAGGCAGACTGCCAGACAACTAGCCAGCCACTGACAGGTCACGTGACCTGCCAGTGGCGGCTCCTGCCAGCCAGCTGAAGATTGAACCCCTACTGGACTTTTTTAACGTATTGCGTTCATAGAGCGAGCCTTTCACTGAATAGGCTTGTTTGAGATGCGCCTTGCCTCGCCTGAAATGTAGTCGAGAGTAGGCGGCTGCAGTGAAGGGAAGAGTGAAAAAAGCGCAGGCAAGCTGGACAGATCTCTCTTCTCGTAGTGGATCTGATACCTGTGAGATCAAAGACTGATATCGCGGGATTCACGGGCGCACGGTGTTGCTAAAACTGGATGTAATTTAAGTTTTGTTGCTTGTATATGAAAATAAATATAATGAACAAGACACCCAAATTACTTATTTAATTCCATTTTAAATAGGCCTACGTGTTTATCAATCATGTTTTCTTTAATACAGACATGTGTTTTTATTTATTTATTTATTTTTTAAATTACATCAGATAGATCGCACTGAGAGTTTGGGAATATCCACACATAATTTATACACATAAAACATGATATCAGAGTTTTAAAATCAAACATTTTAAAAGAGAACAATACATCACGGTTGTTTAAACCAATGAGCATTAAGCTGTGTCGTCAGCAAGTCGTTTCCCATCGTGCTTTTGATCAGCGCAGTCGGTGGAGAGCAACTGCGCGCGACTGCAGAATCCGACAGGTGCGCCTTGCGTTCGCGAGAGTTTTTTGACATACGTCGGCTTGACATCAGAGCAAGGCGGACCCATAGACAGTAAAAGAAATGGACACAGCGACCCCGTTGATTTCAACGGAGAGAGTTGAAGCCCAACATGGGCACTCACTTCCTGATAGCCAAGCGTTCTGCGCAGGCTCAAACTGAGCTTGACGACGTAGTTGTCACGTGAGCAACCGTTCTGACCTTCTAGTAGCTGTGCCGGGACAAATCTGAATTGAAATCTGAAACAAATCTGTTGTTGAAATATTTTGTCCCGTTGCTTTTATGAACTCTCTATCTATGGGCTTCTCCCTTGACTTTATGCCTCCATGTCCATCCGATTGCCTCATAGACAGTAAACGATTGCCTACGAGCTTCTACTTCTGTCTATATGGTAATTTCTCTACTGTGCGACAGAGCGTCCCGTGGTTATGACGCAACGTTAGCCTATTTTTACAAGAATGGCTTCTACGGGGCCATAACGTAAGATAGAAAGTAATGAAGCCTTTTATACATTGTCGTGTTTCTTTAGAAATAAATAATGGACAAATGGAGTCTTTGGACGCCTCAGATGTAAAGTTATTCGCTGTCAAAGTGACGCCAAAATGAATGGGAGTCAATGGGATGCTAACAGCAGGTGATAGCCAGCTACAATGGCGGCCCCCGGAGGCAGCTTCAACTGCTGATGGATTACCCCCTTGGGCGGACCGCACTCGGACACATTTCTAACCGGCATGCATCTCGTGCTGATCACCGGTGATCGGTTCTGCGCAGATTTTGCTCATCTCAAACAAGCCTATTGTTTACAGCTTAACGGAAGTTACACCCATAATTCGCGCAA